GGGCTTTTAGCTGTTTCCTGCTCTTTTTCCTGCTGTTTGGGGGCTACCAAGGCCTGGTAAGTGACTTTCTTTTATTTATATTTAAGTTTCTGACCCCTTTTTCCCCTCCAGAAGCCTCTAAGGAGAGGGAGGGGGCACTTTTTTTCCTGTCCATAACTCGGAGAGTCCTTCTTTCCCTATCAGGCGGGTTCGTAAGTTGAATTGTTCGCAAGTAGGGTCGTTCGTAAGTCGAGACCCCACTGTAGAAATGTGTCAGTTCTAGCATCTGGCCATATGTTCAAATTCTGGGGTTGGAGAACATAGTGAGAACTGAGTACTAGTTGGAGAAAAGCTGGAAGACCTTGCTCAGGGTGCACCTCTTTCTCTCCTGTTTTCCAGTTCCGGGAACAAGTGGTTCAAGACACAGTTGAAATGCTTGAAGAGAAGCTGAGCAAGAAGCTTCTCCTTTCCAGCCAGCTGCCCAGCTCATTCAGCAGCTCTGCACACCAAACCCCTGCAAGCCCTTCATTGCAAGCCAACCCTTTTGATTGGCTCCTCTCATGCAGCAACTGTCAGGCCCCCATCGTGGGCATCCGCTACCAGTGCAGGTAAGACAAGGGCCAGCACCCAAGGTGTTGGAATTTGGCATCGTGAGCCTTTTGCAGTTCTGGGTGAATGTGGTTTGGAAGCTACCCAGAAAGGCAGATTTCTCGACAATATAACCAAAAAAAGTGGATTGAATCCTGAAGCCAAGCAGGACAACATCCCCATGTGGTCCAGTCAGCCACCAAATATTAGTGGCGGGGTATAACATTACCCACAGTACATTGAGGGAACAAAATACTGTATCCCTCTCCCTTGCCCAACCTGAATGTATTTGCTCAGAAGAGTAACATTCCTTTTATTTTGTTATTATTTGCTTGTTTTATTTATAGGTCACCTTTTTGCTGAAAAGGGGACCCAAGGTGCAATGTTAAAAAGAATAAATTTAAAAACATAGTAAGTTAAACATTAAAAAGCAATTAAAAAGCAAGAATTTGTTTGTTTCTTTAAAATATTTTGACCCCATCTTTGTCCTTAAAAGGATGCAGGGTTGACATACAGCAATTAAAAGACTTTTAAAAACTAAAACAGTAATTATAAAAATATTTTAACATAATTAAACAATTACTTTTAATTGCATTTTAAACAATTATAAAGCTAATTAAGATCAATATCAAAACACATTTAAAACAACAGAACATGACAGTCCATTTAAAATCCCTCTCAGATCACCAGTCATTAAAGAAAAAATGGGGCCAGCCTAGCTTCCCGTGGGAGGGGGTCGGGCCAGCCTAGTTTCCTGTGGGAGGGAGTCCCAAAGTCTGAGAGCAGCGGCAGAGAAGGCCCTCTCCCATGTTTCCATCAAGTGTGCCTTTGAATCAAAGCAAAGATTAAAAACTATCTTAACTTTAAAAAGGCATTCAGGAGCTCAATCATGATTGTTAAAAGCTTGCCTGAAAAGATACGTCTTCGGCTGTTGGCTGAGGGATGGAAGGGAGGTGGCTAGCCTGTTGCGTCTCTTGATATGCCATTGCATCTTAACATGAATTGATTTAACGAAACAGGTGGCAGTAACGGAAAAGCTAAAAAGCCATGCCATCCTCTCTTCACAGTTTATGTCCATCCTATAGCATCTGTGAATTGTGTGAAGCCGGCGTATATACCCATGACCCCAACCACGTGCTTTTGAAGCTGCGAAGGCCTGTCACGTGTATCTCAGAGACATATAACTTTGGGCAGTTGTCTCCTCGCCTTGCTACTCTGGAGCAAGTCAGGTCAGCAAGCAACTTCTTAGTTTACTCTGTTGTTTGTGTGAACCTGTTTGAATCTTCTCTCTTTCTTTCTCTCTCTCTCTCTCTCTCTCTGTGCATGCTTCCATCATGTACTTCCCACCCATCCCCCTTTTTTTTGTAAGCTTAAGAGCTCCAATGTGTGTGTGTGTGTGTGTGTGCATGCTTCCATCATGCACACACACATTGTAACCTTTCCCATGTGAGATCCTTGATAATTTTGGTTGCCCTTTTCTCTGTTTCAAATCAATGTGTGAAATTCAGACTTTATCCCACTTTCTGGATATCTCCAAACCTCTCCAGCCTATGTTGCTTGTTCTGGGCCCCATCACCCACAATCAAACTCTTCTGCCTGATTGGACTGGGCTCCAATCTCAGTATTGTTGATGGTTTATTGGCAGTGGGTTAAGCAAAATATTGAGATGTCTAACCTAACTGCATGTTCAGTTCACAATTTGGAACATAGGTGGGGAACACATTTGTGATACCAGACCAGATTCTCAACCTTCCGACCACCTACAGACCAAATGGCATCAGGGGAAAGTGGCTGTGTCCCTCAGTTCATGAACTTTACTATACACCACACATCATTGTCTCACTATCTGAAGCTTCCTGCTGGTGCTGTATCTGAGAATCCAGTTTTGCTTCCCTGTGCTTTCTGATGCAGGGAAGATGAACAGGGAGCAGATCCACTCTTATAGCCAGATCTCAATACACTAGCTAAAATACTTTGCTCCTGATCTTCCTTGCATAGGGAAGTTGAGCAAGGAATGATGCCAGAGTCTCTGCTATCTCCAGTCAAATGGTAAGGATATTCCCTGCATATGAAAGAATTCATTTTGTCTCAATATTAGAATGGAGGGGAAAGGGATTCGGGGAGGAAACAGGGCAGGAAATCTCTGGTTGGTTGGACTAGGCCACTCTATGGGCTGGAGGTACACAAACCCTTGATATGGGGTGTCTACAGGACCATCAGCATTGGTGCTGAGCAACACCTCACTGTCTGTTCTTTCTTGTTCGTAGTTAGATGCTTGGGCATCCTGGTAAACAAGGAATAAAAGAAACACACAAATTATTTCAACACCACAGTTTTTGTGATCCTCAGCAAGAATCTAATTGCTGGTGCTAATAGTGTCCTTTGGGTAGGCAGAGCCTCTTTTCAGCAGAATTGATCTCTTTTTTTCAACACATGCAGGCTCCAGAAACAGATGGACAAGCGTTTTTTGAAAGCGGAGAAGCAGCGCTTGAGAGCAGAGAAAAAACAGCGCAAAGCTGAGGTGCGGGAACTCAAGAAACAGCTGAAGTTGCACCGGAAGATCCATCTATGGAATTCTGTCCATGCTCTGGACACCACTGGCTTTGCAGCAGCCAAAACTGAGAATCTGCAATCCAGTACACTTCTGTAAGTAATCTGAGGGCTGGAATACCTGGAGAAGGCAGCTCCCTCCCCCAGGACTGGATTGCAGTGGACTCTGAACCATTCAAGGGGAAGCTGTGCCTAGCCAGGCCAGGGGGCTTTAGGGAACCTTCTGCCCCATTTCCAGTGTTGGTTGCATCTTTAGTTCCCTCCTCGCATGCCCTAGAAATGTTCATTTTGAAAAACTGATGAACACTTAAGATGCTGGTTCCTTTCTTAGACTCTAGTTTCCCAAGTAACTTGGTTAGGGAAGCAACGACAGTCTGGAGTGTAAATCTGCCCTTAATTGCAGGTTGCTGTGGCTCTGACTCACCGAAGGGAGAGGGAAGGAACTTAACCTACACTGAGTTCAAGCTAAGTAACACCAGACTTGCCTCCTCTCCTTTGCAGTCCCCTCCAGGGCTGCCCTGTCATTGTCCCCACGCTGAGTGCTGCCTTCGTGGACGAGAATCTGCCGGACGGAACATGCCTGCAGCCAAGGACAAACTTCGTCAAGCATTGGCGTATGAGGAACACTGGCAACATGAAGTGGAGCTCTGATACGAAGGTGCTTTCCAGAGCTTGTTTTGTACAGAGAGGAACTTACAGCTCATAGTTGCCTGCAGGTCCATGGCCCCTTAGCATCCTTCCACTTTTCGGCCCTGCTGTGTAGGCACTTGTTTCTCGCAGCATTGAAAAAAAAGGCACTCGCCCAAGTGCAACAGTGCTCTCTTTTTACTGCTTCCCATTTATTGGGACTTACTCCTGTTGCTGTTTATTTCCTACATTTCCTACCAATGGAAGTGTCCATGAATGTAATTTCCTTCTTTGGGTGAGGACATAGGTTTGATTCTCAGCCAATCACAACCACTCTCTGGGCCCTTGGCTGGCAATTAAAGGCAGAAATAATTGCCTTGTGCTGCTGAGCAAATAGGGAGAGGAAGGGTTAACTTCAACAAACAGTGTTAAATCACTAGCGGACTATTCTGCTTTCTAACTCTAGCCCCAAACACATAGCTATTGGGGACATGTTTCAATATGATCTGTTCTAGATTGTTGTTATGTGACATCAAGTCAGAACTAACTTATAGGAACCCTAAGAGGGATTCTAAGATGACTGAGATATTTAAGGAGTGGTTTTACCCCATAATATTCCGATTTAACTAGGTGTGGGCTGGATATAACAGCTGTCAAGTGGGCACACTATTGGCTACAGAATCATACTTAGAGAGTGATGATTAGTGGCTCTTTCTCAAACTGAGAGGAGGTACAAGTGGGATACCCCAGGGTCAGTCTTGGATCCAGTGCTCTTTAACATTTTTATTAAATATAAAATATATTTTATATAGATCAAGGGATACAGGGAATGCTAATTAAATTTATGGATGACATAAAATTAGGTGGAATAGCTAACACCCTGGAAGACAGAAACAAAATTCAAAATTATGTAGATAGGCTTGAGCACTGGGTTGAAAACAACAGAATGAAATTCAGCAGGATAAGTGCAAAGTATTGCACCTAGGAAAAAGAAACCAAACACAGTTACAAAATGGGGAATACCTGGCTCAGCAATATTGCGAGCGAGAAGGATCTTCGAGTCGTTGTACATCACAAACTGAATATGAGCCAACAGTGTGATATGTCTGCAGAAAAGGCAAATGCTGTTTTGGGCTGCATTAACAGAAGTATAGTCTCCAAAGCCCGTGAGGTACAAGTTCTGCTCTATTCGGCACTGGTTAGGCCTCATCTTGAGTTCTGTGTCCAGTTCTGGACACCACACTTCAAGAAGCATGTTTAGCCTTGAGAAAAGAAGATTGTGGGGTAATATTGATAGCACTTTTCAAATACTTGAAAGGCTGTCATGCAAAGGATCTGTTCTGAGTCATCCCAGAGTGCAGGATATGCAACAATGGGCTCAAGTTACAGGAACCCATATTTCAGTGGAATATCAGGAAAACCTTCCTAACTGTTAGAGCAGTATAACAATGGAGTCAGTTACCTCGAGAGGTGGTGAGTGTTCGAACACTGGAGAGATTCAGGAGAAATTTGGACAACCACCTGTCAGATCTGCTCTAATTTGTTTTCCTGCATGGAGCAGGGGTGTAGGTTTGATGGCCTTATAGGCCCCTTCCAACTTAATGATGCTATGAATCTATCAGTTCCACATCCCAGTGAGTTTCCACGTCTGAGTGGGGATTCAAAACCAAGCCTCCTGATTCCTGGTCTGTCAGTCACTTTATTTTCTATACCACACTGGGTATCCCGTCCTAGATCAGAACACTGTTACTTTTTGTCCCAGTGGCTAAATTCCAGTTCAGGAAGGTTTCTGAGTGGGGCCAAAGGCAATATGTGAAGACAAAGCAAAGCAGGAAAGGAGTTGGATATTTTCCTAGGAGACCTTCAAAGTCCAACTTAAGTCTCTGTTTGTCAGAGGTCAGCCCTAGTGGAACAGTATTCCAGTTTACAATCACAGTTGTCCCCAATCCAGGGTATTTGAAGTATCTTCAAGTACCCTTATATCGCTAACCACGTTTTAAAAATAATAGCAGAAAAAATATGAGTGGATAGAGAATCACTGGACCAGAGGTTCCTTGTATCTGCTTTCAGTGATAGTTGCAGCCAAAACTTAGTGAGCTAATGCAAGCCAGTATTTAAACTGTGACCCCTTTGCTTTCTTGATTCACTCCTCCCTAGTTCCTTGTTTCTAGTGGGGTCCAGATTTTTCCTTCCGGTAGTCCCGTGAACTTTAGATCAAGTTTTAGGCAGGGCATTGGTAAAGAACCCAAATTCTCAGCAATAGGATTCCAGTATCTTTTTCTCTATCTATGAGAGAAATAAAAATAATGCCTGATCAATGAGGCTCATGCCTGAGGGGGGAATTCAGCCTGAAGCACCCTCTGCTTCGATGATAGACTATCCCATTGGTGAGCAGTCACTGCAAAAGATTCTCAAAACATTTGGTTGGAACGAAGAATGACAGACGCTTTTGTTTTTTGCTTTGTTTTTCTAAATTTCATCCTTCAGCTAAAATTTATGTGGGGGAACTTGACTCTGCTCTCCTCTGAGAAGAAAGATGTGGCCGTACCTGCCCTGCATCCCGGCCAAGTGGGGGTTGTTTCGGTTGAGTTTGTGGCCCCTCCAGTGGAAGGAACCTACACATCTCACTGGCGGCTGTCGCACAAAGGGGAGCAGTTTGGGCCCCGGATTTGGTGCAGCATTGTGGTAGCCTCCTCTTCCTCTGGTGCCGACTGCCCGGAGAATGGCAAGCTGGTGTCTGCTTTCTGCCAGAAGGGCAGATCCCTTAGTAAAGAAGAGGTGAGGCCCTCATACCCTGAACCCATGCAAGTCTCTTCCCCCTCCCCCGGCCAGCTGTACTTTTTCCATTCTTCCTCTTCTGCCTTCTTTTTATAGCTCTTTCCCTAAGATCTCTCATTCTTCTATTGCCCATCATTTCCTCCTACATATGCTTTTCTCCTTCCTTCAACTATATTTCAGCTTCAGCTTCCCATGCTCAATTACTTAGCTATCCTTGGTTGTTGTTTTTTCCTTTTCTCTTTCTGAGTCGGTTTGGATTAATGAATATAAATTGCTGATGAAAGAATTCTTCTGCATATGTAATGGCACTGGTATTTGGTACAATATACTCTTGACTGCCCTAGGTCATAAACTTTAATATGTCTACCTTCCGTCAGCCACTAACCTTCTCAGCTTTCTTAGCCTTTAGCTAGTATTTTGTGCTCACTGCTCAGCCTGTCGCTAGCAGGTTTCCCAATGAGAACTGGTAGCCAGTGCTACAATAATAGCTGTTTCGTGTTGCCCATGCCTTTGATCATAAAGAACCCAGCTAACATGTTCGTTAAAATGAAATGAAAAACCAGGTACACCAGGGAGGTTTCTTTTCTTGATCAACAGAATTGTCATGCATCAAGCAAACGTGCTACATTGTGAGAAGGGTCAGACCTCTAAAGCCCATGCTTTGTATGCTTAAAAAATTCTCAGGAAGGACTGTGTGAGAGAGACTGTGTGAAACACTTGCCGGTCAGACTAGGCCAGCCTTCCCAAGAGTGGTGCCCTTTCGCCGCATTGGGTGGCCGCTCCCTGCCCCCATAGCCCTTGGTCCTGCTCACGAGCGGCGAGGTAGTCCCAACAGGTTTCCTCTGCCTTGGATGTGGCCATTGCTCCTCTTTCTATGGAGATTCAGCAAACCTTCTGCCCAGGTTGCCCTGTAGTATCTATTCTAAGATACTTAGAGCCTCTCAATTCCATTAGATTCCCAGCCCACCAGAAGGAAAAAAAGAAACAAACTCTGGACTGTCTTCCAGAGACATCTTCTGTGTCTTTATTTTCATTATTGTTTTTTACCAGATGCTTAGAACAACAAACTGGAACTGTACTGGTGCTGTTGACACACGATATACAATAAAAATAATGACTGATTATAAGATGGAGTACTTTCTTGTGTTAAATTTGGAAGTTACCACAGAACTGGGAGTAGTTATGTTTTAGGATTACAGCTCACCAGAACCCAGCAGCCTGCCTAGTGACTAGCAGGGGAATACTGGGAGTGTAGTGGCTTTCCCAGATTTTGTTGGACTGGTGACCTCAATATCTGTCTCTGTTCACGTGCCAGTGCTGATCTTGTCCCCTGCAGGAAAGGCTCTCAAAGTTCCAGACAGAAGCTCTGCAGGCCGTCGATAGTGCCATGCAAAGAGGTTTGGCCAGTGGGGCTTCTCCAACAAAGATGAAGGGCGTCCTCAGCGCTAGAGAGTTCTACATTCCATCAGTCGACCTGCTCACAGCTCAGGTGACATTTCAGGGCAAGCCACAATGGGTGTGTGTGTGTGTGTGTATCTGTTCCATACATATTTTTTAAAGGTCCTTAATTCCGTTTTGTTTCCTTCCATTAGGATTTACTTTCCTTTGAACTGCTGGACATTAACATTGTGCAAGAACTGGAGCAGGTCCCTCGTAATACTCCTGTTGGTAAGCGTTCTCACACACCGGGGAACTTTTGAATGAGAGTTGCAATGGGTATGTTTTCAGATCACCTCTGAAAGACTCATCACCTCATCTTGAGTCAAGACATGGCATTGTTGGACACTTATGGAAATCCATATTTCCCAAAGGGGACCTGCTACCAGTCTCTTGCACCTTCTGGTCCTATTGATGCTGTTCCTTGAAGTTATTTCTTATCTCCTGGATGCTTCTAAAGAAGCAATGAGGAAGAGCAACTGCAAAGTCTGCATGGTTTCTGTCCATTCCTTGGGAGGTGGTGCCAGCTGGACCCAGAATAGAAGGCACGCAGATGGGCAGCAGTGGTAGCTTGCCAACAAAACCTGTCACTGGCACTGGCATATCTGAATGCCAGAGTAGATTGCTCTGCCACCCACATGGACTTGTAATAAGACTACCAGTGAAATGAGATATTCCAGTCTTTTTCTTATCTGTAGTTTATTGTAGCGAGGCCAGTATCTGCCTTGAACTCCCTGCCTGAGCAGATGCTGTGTAGGGTTTGTATCATTGACAGGCAGGTGCATCCCCTGACTTGTTTCTGTTGTGTGACCTACAAGCCTACCCCCATTTTCAGTAGTTTTTTGGCAAAACAAAAGGAGGAGCCTCCTGGAAGTGCAGTTCTTCTCTAATGCAAGCCATGCAGACTTGGTTAAGGAAAAGAATGAGAGCTGGGGATGGAGTGGATTCGATTAAACCACAAGTGATCTTCCACTCACTTGCAGTTATCAAAAGATCGTTTTAAAATTTCAGGGAGGGAGTGCAACCTACAGCAGGAGCAAGCATTACTCTCTGACTCTCTGAAGTTGTCCACCCATAACCTTTTCCAAGAGAGACGGTGAATTGAATGATAGTGGGCAGGGCAACTGAAGGTTTTTGTTGTTTTGTTTTTTTGTTAACTCAGAGTGAACTCGGTTAATTATGCAGGCTACACATTGCAAGCTGGGTACTCATTTTACTGACCTCGGAAGGATAGAAGGCTGAGTCAACCTTGAGCCAGCTACCTGGGATTGAACCCCAGGTCGTGAGCACAGTTTCGGCTGCAGTACAGCGGTTTAACCACTGCGCCACGAGGCAGTTTACCAAAAAAAAACCAAAAAACTATTTTTGAGATTTACAAGAGCAAGTTATTATTTTTCCTTCATTCCTTGCCTTGCTTTGCGTTTCTAGACATGACACCAGATGTGTCAGCCTTGCCCCAGGACAGTTCCTTGCTGGAGAAGGAGAAGGACAGTGTGGACCAAAAACAGGAAGTGGAAGAAGGAAGTGCATGTCAATCACTGCCTGGTAAGCAGAGAGCAATGCAGAAATGTTCCTGAGGGGTTCCCAATCCCTTTGAGCCCAATTTTGGGCCGAAGCCAGTATTCTCCCATATCTGAATGCCTGCCCACCTTAGTTATTATTGGAAACTGGCTTAGTTGGCTACCTCTTTAAATCTGGGTGTCGTAAAAGACATCGATTAGAGCAAAATGGCTACGTCTAGAATCTAAGGGGTCTTAATTGGTAGCTTTTAAGAATGCTTGTTTGTGAACATGAGGCTGTGAATACTCTGGCAGCATAAGCTTCCTGATGTGCCTTTCCCTGCCCCCATTTGTCCTATTACAGCACAAGAGATTTTAATTGCTAATTGGGAGGGAAATATTGTAAGGTGCCCTTTGACAATCTGGTAGCCCTTTCATCCTGAGAAATGATTAAAGAAAAGGCTCCCCAAAGTTAGGGAGACATTGGTGTCTTTGTAATATCAGCATCCCGTCTTCAGACTCTTTTTCAGACTCTTTTTAGATCTGCCTGCATACAGCTGACCAGTCTTATCTTATACTGAAGGAAGGGGCAAAGACTGCCATGCTTAAAAGGCATGAGAGAATAAATATTAACAAGTTGTATCTGACTTAAGCTTTTTTGGATTGCAGGCCACTTCTTCACATAGAGATTGGTTACAGACCATGTAAACTTAATGTCAGATAAAACTTGTTAGGGGCTTTTTGTTGGTTTTGCTCTGATATGAAAAAAGAATAAACATGGCTCTCCAAAATGAGTTGAAGCCACTGTAGCTGTTGTGTGGACAGGGAAAAGAATCGGAATCCATCTCTGAGAGTCAGGGACACATGTTCCAAATCATCATCTTTTAGGAGTATCATGTTTACTGCAGACTTCTGAAACTGATGGCAAAGTACTGATAGCGATTCACTCCACAGATGCTCAGGGAGGGAAAAGAAAGGCTGAAAACCCAACAAGCCAAGAGGAAGGAGAGGAAGACATGAGTGGGACGCAGTTTGTGTGTGAAACAGTCATTCGCTCCCTCACCTTGGATGCGGCACCTGACCACAAGCCCCCACAGAGAAAGAAGTCTTTACAGGGTAAGTGCTTTAAATTGTCCTCTGAAAATATTGAGAACCCCCCAAAAAACACCTGGCATTTTGATCTGTCCCTCTGTTTTTGTTGATCTAGGTTCTATGCAAGCACTACCGGACACTGCCAACTACAGCCCAAAAAACAAGGACCTCATCAATGCTATTTCCACAACGCAAGAACCAGAGACCAGGAATCAAGGCACAGAGATGACCAAGGAACCAGAATTTGGTAAGCAGGAGAAGCTAGAATTTTTTCTCTCTGAAGATAGGGCAGAACTGAAGAGGATAGAGTCCAAAACATGGAATTTTTTTTTTTACTATAATCCCATATGTCCCAGCCAGCCATGCTGAGTGGGTATTCTGGGGGTTGTAATTCAAAAATAGCTGTTTAAGTCTCTGGACTCAGCAACTTTTCAAGCTCTAGTATAGCTAGTCTCTCTGCCCCATGGGAGGGATGATAATAGGTCCCTGTGCTTTGTCGGGATGTATTAAAATTGGAACAAGTGCAAAGAAGAATATGATCATGGGTGTTGAGAAACCACCTTAAGAGCATTCTGTGTGTGACATGCTGTTGTGTGTACATTGGATAGGTTAAACTTTGGAAACGAGGTATTTGATGAAGGGTTGGATAAGATCCCTTTTAGGTTCTTTCCAAATAAACAGGACAGCTGAGAAGAGAATCCTGCCTTGTAATGACTGTGGTTTTCTCAGATTGGTGCAAGAGGGACAGATAAGAGGCCCAGTGAAAGTGACTGCATTAACCTTTGTAATGAAGCAACGTTCTATACATTCTACTAGAGCAACTCTCAGTGCATGATGATGATTCTGGCCATGGTGAGGCTGAGGATGATGCAAAGGATGAAGTCTGCAGCCAGGCGTCTTCTACCTCCTCTGAGGATTATATTATCATACTACCAGAGTGCTTTGACACCAGCCGCCCTCTGGGTGAGTCTATGTACAGCTCTGCTCTCTCGCATCCAAGCTTGGAGAAAGTGGCAGAGGCTTCAGCAACTCCTGCAGGAGAAAGCCGTCCTCTGGGCCGGAGTATTGGTGACATCTTGACCACCTCGCAGACCCTGGATGAGGTGCCACTGACCCCTCAGATTGTGGAACCACGGCCAACTAGGTATTTGGTTTCTATATTACATTTATTCCCCATATTTCATTGAAAGAGTTCAAGGCAGCTTACACAGCTCTCTTTCTTTGCACCATATCCTCATAACAGTTCTGTGAGATAGGCCAGGCTGAGAAAGGCACCCAGATGTGGGTGAAATAGGATTTTAACCCTGATTTCCCAAGTGCTAATCTAACAGTCATAATCGCAGCACCATAGCAAACTTTGATAAGAGTTCATTGCCTCCTATAGTCATAGACGATAGTATCTTTCAAAGTAATGAAGTGCTAGGCTGCATGGCTTTCCTGTACAGATCAGAGTAAGAAAACACATTCATAATGGAAACAAAGGTAAATGGGGTACTTTTACTAGGGAACGTGGTTGAATGCATAGTATAGGGTAGATCTCTGCATTCAGATATAGTGGGTGTCTTTCCAGGTCTCTCTGAAGTTTGTGCTAAGGAAGAAACAAACATTATGTCCTACTCCAGCAATTCTTATATCTTTTCAAATGTCTGCCTCTTTTCTTTAATAACAGATGCCTGACCCTTTCTGAGAATGCTTCCCATGCAACTAATGCACCCAGTAGAGAAAATGCTCCACCGGTGGCTGACCAGATTAAAGAAGGTACTGTATTATAATTTTTGGGGGGATAGATGATTAATAGTCTCTAACTCAAGATATTCATTTTATGGCCTTCACTTTTGCAGAAGTACAAGCTGGATAATAGCAATATAATACGCATACAGAAACTCATCATTCATTACATAAGCCCTGTAAAATGCAAAGGCTACGATTCTGTTGCTTAGCGTTGTAAAATGCCCTAGGGTAAGCCCACAGAATCAGTAGGAATTTGGTGAGTCAACTCCTCCATAAGTTCCATTGATTCTGATGGGCCTCCACTATTTGTGACTTATGTTAAAGTAAGTTGCAGCTAGAGTAGGTCCATTAGAATCATTGACGCTACAGGGGAGTTGACGCACCATCTCCCCACAGATTCAGTGAACCTGTTCTATGAGGGGGTGCCAATAAGTATTGAGCCTTTCCCAGAAAAAAATTGAGCTGGGAAGCTATAAATTTCAGAGTGCATTGGCCCATTTGTCTGTATTCAGTGGTGCAAAAATCAACTACCTATGATTTTAACTTACCTTTCATGTTCAGGTCCAAAGTGAACATGGCAGCACCTCCAGAAAAGTTCAATGTGGAAAGAGCATAGGACCATAATCAAGTTCCTGTTTCTTCAAGGGAAAGGTGCAAAGTAGATCCATGATGAACTGTCACAAACTATGGGCGACAGTGGCCCTTCATATGAAATAGTGAAATATTGGGTTGTCAATTTTTAAACTGGCCATTTCGATGTTGAAAGTGAGAAACCCAGTGGAAGGCCTCTTTCTGTTTTGGGACATTTTGCAAGAAATGAGTCAGATTTCTTGGCCAAACTGGTAACTGATGATGAGACATGGATCTACTGTTATGATCCTGAGACAAAGGAACAGTCTAAGGAATGGAGGCACAGTGGTTCCCCCAGGTCAAAGAGGTTCCGAGTGCAAAGGTCGATGCAGAAGCAAATGGCAACAGCTTTTTTGGGATAAGAAGGGAGTTCTGCTGGTGGACTACCTCCAACAGGGTTCAACCATCAATGCAGAATATTACTGTGCTTTATTGACGAAGTTGAGGCAAAACATCAAGGAAAAATGTCGAGGAAAGCTGTCCAAAGCTGTCATCCTGTTGCATGACAACACCTCATAACACACTGGGGGTGAAACAATGACAAAACTGACTTCAAAGTCCTTAGGCTTTGAAGTGATACCCCATCCACCCTATTCTCCGAACGTAGCTTCTTTTGACTATTATCTTTTCCCCAGACTCAAAAAACACCTAAAGGGACAACAATTTGGGAGTGTTCTGGAGGCAACTAATGCTGCAAATGAGTGGTTACACCAGCGGTCGGAAGAATTTTATTTGCAGGGACTTAAGCTGCAAGACAGATGTTGCAAGTACATTGGCTTCCTGGGGGAATATGTAGAATAGTGTGGCTGTTACAGCTTCCTAGGTCAATTTTTTCTGGGAAAGGCTCAATACTTACCAGCACCCCCTCGTAGTGCAGCTTACAATGCTAGGCTAACCAGGATTTCAGCCAGTAAATGTTCCTTGTGGTGCTTTTCAGGTAGTCAAAACTTGGTTCTTTCCTCCTGTCCCTGGTCTTATACTGCCAATCTTTTCTATCCTAGAACTCCTGGAAGGAGATGGTCCTGAACTGCCACCTTCAGGGAATGTAAATACAACACAACCTTGTCCAGAATTATCCAGGTAATGAAAACTGGATCAGACTGGTATTTTATTTTGATCAGTCTAATTGAGCAGTGTCATGTATATTAGTTTTCTGCACAGTAAACTGAGATCTCCTCCCATCTTTTTCCATACTCTCATACATATGTGTAAATTAATTTTGGTTGATTTGTTTATTTTCTGCATTAAAAGCTGCACTATACAAGTATGGAATTTGATGTACAGCAGGAATTCAGCATCAGTTCACTATTAAAGCAATCACTGAGGCTGCAAATACAGAGTTGAGCTTGTGTAAGAAGTGCCTTATGAAATCTTCAAATCCAGTTGAGATGCCTGTCACTTGAGTTCATGTCTTTTCCTACATCATAGTCACATAGTAAAATTGCTTTCACAATTACCTGGCAATGAGAACCAGGCTTGGTTGACTTTTGCAAGATTGGCATATTCTGTGCCTTCAGACCATATGTTGAAACTACCGAATTTTCAGCAACAAAGGAAGCGGTTCCTTTCCCTCCCTGTGGCAAGATAAGAGCATGATAAATTATATTAGTAAAAGAAGCAAATTTTTGCACATATCTTTTTATTCTCACAACTTTTTTTGTGGGGAAGGTCATAGCTCAGAGCAGATCACATTTTTTGTATGTACAAAGTCCTTACTCCTGGCCTCGCCAGTAGCAAACTTAAGAGCTGTTCCCAGTGGCAGCAGATTTTAAAGGGTAGGCAGACTTATAATCTGACTCACTCGGAAGTGTTTCATATGCTCTTGTATTGTTCAGATTAAAAGAATCCAGCCTCCCTCCATGTAGGATGTGTTTATTAACACAGGAAATAACTTGCAGGAGAGTCAGAGGCCAACTTCTAGTAATCCGTTTCTGAACAATTTATCCAAGCAACATATCCTCTCTGGCAGAGTTTGACAATTTTGTTTGTTTGTTTTGGACCATAGCTCCCAGAATCCTACCGCCAACCTGGTCACTGGGAGTTCTGATCCAAAAAAGTAACTTTCCCAAGGCCTTCCTCCATCTCGCTTTTTTTCTTTTTCAACTAAAGCCCCGTTAAAAGAAAACTGCTTGGTCGTTCTCTCTCCCTTCTTGGTGCCTTTTTAATTTCAACCTTCTCTACAGACACACCCACGGAAATAGCCTTGCTGGCGGTCTGGTGAAGGGGGCCCTCTCGGTGGCTGCCTCGGCCTACAAGGCGTTGTTTGCTGGACCACCCACCCTGGAACAGGTAAGTCGCTCATGTAAGGATCGTGCGCCTCATAGGATGGATAAGGAGGGCAAAAAACGGGGATGTCCATATTCTGTGTTTCTGTGTCCACACCATACAGAGGAATTAGATTACGTAGTATTGTCCTAAAAGTATCTTTGTGGCTTTTGAAGTTAAGCCTTACAACTATGTTGCATTAGTTTTTTGGGCTAGCCGTATCAGTCTATATAAGCAAAAACAACAGTCTTGTGGCAAGTTAAAAGACTAATAAGTTTTACTTGGTATATGCTTTCATTGATTTCAGTCTGTTCCTTCAAATACATCTGATAAAAAGTGGGCTAAACTTGTTAGTCATTAAAGTGCTACATGGCTCTTAGTTGTTTATGTCACATCAGGGATTGCTACCATCAGGAAGAGATTACTGTCCTCAGGCTTTCTAGAGATGTTTCGCATCCAAATTTAGCTTACATTGGCTCTGAGTTTCTCTGCCTTATTTTGCACTTGCACCAGGTTTTTTCAGACTGGCTTTCTGCTGCAGCATGTGGTTTGGCTGGCTTTGAATTGTCTGCATTACAGTGGTGCCTCGCTTAGCGATTGCTTCGTTTAACGATGTATTCGCTTAGCGATGGGTTTTTTTGAGGAATTTTCCGCATCGTTTAACGATGTTCTCTATGGGCGACTTTCACTTAACGATGTCCATTTTCGCTCATTTAAAAGTGTCTTAAAATGTTTGAAACCTGTTTTAAATGCTTGGAATCGTTAGTGCATCTTGTAAAACCTTTGCAAACTTAATTTGGCTTTGTTCTGAGTCTTCGTTAATTTTTGGTGAATTCCCCCCCCCCCCATTGGAATGCATTGAACTAGATTATTGTGAGCCGCCCAGAGACCTCTGGGTACTGTGGGCGGCATATAAATTGAATGAATAAATAAATAAATAAACAAACAAACAAACAAACAAACAAACAAATAACACAGAGGTGGGAAATCTGTTCTCCCAGGTGTTAAATTGAATTCCCATCAGCCTCAGTCAGCAACCAGGGATGATGGAAATAGAAGTGTGGATGTGCCTGCATGCTTGTATGTACACACCTTAGTTTACATGATATACCTGCATGTTTCTTTCCCTGTTTTGATAGCTGTGTGTCTTTTGCCCTTTTAGGCTGTTCCTGTGACCACTGAGGATCATATGGCTACCTTCTTGGCCAATTTGAGCGAGATGGGCTTCTGTGACTGGCACCTTAACATCCGACTGCTCCGGAAATACAACTGTGACATGACCCAAGTTGTCACAGAACTGCTACAAATTAGTCACACTGACTGGTATGGGAACCAGTACTGAACCATGCTCATTTTGTGCATTAAAAACCTCAACAGCAAACAGCACCAGCAATTTTCAGTTCCCTTCTGTTCCAACAACCAGAAATGGCTGGCTTCTGTTTGTCCTCGCAGTTCCTCAACACCATCAATTTCCCATGATTCAAACACTAAAGTATCTTTCTTTTAAAACACTAGGTTCCTCGGATTGGCATAATAGTGGATTCTATATGGTAAAAAAGGAGGGAAAAATGGGTGAATGTGCACCAGGAGTAGAAGTAACAAATCAGTGACTGGAGACCCTGGAAGAGCATCCTCCTCATCTGGTTGTCTTGCTCAGTTGGAGGCTTTAAAAAGTGGTGAATCTAATTCCACATCTTGCTGAAGACATGCCTCCAAATTCTCTCCTCCCATCACGCAAGCGACTAACCCGCTTGTTCTCTTAATTTCCTTTCCAACCTTCCTTCATCTTGTTGAAGCAATAATTACAGCAACAATTTCATGTTGTGTGTCTTGCAAAGGATAAGCAGCAATCATATATCTGTTTTCCTAGCAGAACCTATTAAACCAGTAAATATTGTTGTTTGCTGGTTTAAATGTGAAGGGCAAAGTTAGTATCTGGGTTGTGTGGATGATTTGTCATAAGCATACCAAAACAAAAAGCAGTTGATCCTTCTATGTAAATTTATGGAGGTACTGTTGGTAGCTGTTGCTTAAAACCTTGAGGGGCCAACAGTCAAACAAGCGTTTTAAACAAAGCTATTTTTGTAAACCCATTTTTATCACTCAGTTTGCTTCAGAGGGATAGTCCTCAAGTACAGTATTCCTGATCTCTCTGCCCAGTTTGAAAAATGCATCATTTTAAACTATTTTTATGAGATTTGAATTTATTAATAATGGGTCCAAGTTATTCTCTGGCATAGATTAAAAAATAAGGAAAACATAGGAAGAAAGATGGCATTAAGGAAAGCAATTCCTCTAGACCCCCTTCAGTCTAAAAACAGAGTTTTTGCACAACCCTTATTGAAATAAATAGGATTTGTCATTCTCATTAGAGTGTGTCCTTTTACTTTAGTCTCAGATGTTCCTTTGACTTTTTGAATAATAGGTTGATTGTGAATGTGGTGGTGAAATGGACCCAAGTGTGGCTTCTCTATGACTTTTATAAAAATGGTAAGTAATGGTGTGGAGGGCACAATCCAGATATGGGGAAAATAAAAATAAAAAGCTTTACTTTGCAAAAGAAAAAGGGGAAATGAAGAAATATAGGGAAAATATATTTGTGCAGTGTTCTAAAATATGGCATAGAAAAGCTAAAAACTTGTGTGGAAGAGAGACCTTCAGATTTGGAAATTCTTTCTCTTGGGGTGATGGAGGAAAGGTCTTGATATTCTTAAATAGATCTTCTTGCTTTCTTTTGAATTAGTTTTGTTTCTGCCAATACAGTCAGCAAACTTCTTGTTAGCATTGTAGAAGAGCTTTCTTTCTAGGTTTCTAAAAGCTGAAATTTTCTTCTGTTGTCTTTGTATATTTTATGAAAGGATGCATGGATGATAATTTAAACAGTGCAAATATTCAGATCTTTGTATATTGTTTAGAATAAGCACTTTGAAAAAGTATTTGAGTGTGACAGACAATAAATAAAATACACATTAAAATAATTTTGTTTTTTAAATAAAATTTCTTCTTTATTGGGTGGGAATGAAGTGGGACCTGCATTTTTAAGAGAATGGATTTTGAAAGAACAGTGAAAGCAGAGTGATTTCTTTACAGGTGCATTATTGTACATTTAGTGTTCAGATCAGAAGGCTTATTCTGTGAGGCATAAGTAATAGGATTTTGACCTGTAAGTGTTAAAAAGTGTCTGCATTGACCAGCCTAGAATATCTAATCCTGCAATCTCACTTTTTGATAAAATATTGCCGTATTTTTCCATGTATAAGATGCTACATTTTCCTAAAACCATTACACTAAAAATTGAGGGGTATCTTTTACATAGAAGTAAGCTGAGAAGCGAACAAAATGGCACATACCTTGCCTCTGTAAACAGGCTTCCTTTAGTCAGGAGGCTTAGCTTCCTCCAATCACGAGCCTTATGGAACTGATGTCAGCTGATGCACACCTTGTTGGAGGTGGAGCCTCTAGGCTCAGATTCAACTGGGACTCAAAACGTTCAACACTTCTGAGCCCAGAGGCTAAATCCTCGAAGCTGTTTTCTTAATGTTGGGGTTAGAAAAGGGGGGGGGGATTTCTTATAAACGGGAGCATTATAAATGAAAAAAGTATCATACAGTACTTAAATTAGCCAACTGTCTTCAGATAAGGGTGGGCAGCCATGATCCTCCAGATGCCTTGGTGTAGAAACTCCATTGGTCTTACCCAATATAGTATTGATGGAGTATGGAAGTTGCAAACCAAAAGTATCTGAAGAACTGCAGTTGTTGTGTCTTTTCCAGAAATCCAGAAGAATGAATTGAAGCTCATGGGGCTAGGGGTGGGACATTTGGGTTTTTTGGACTCCAATTCCCACAATTCTCCCTGAATTCCTGAGTCAGAATGCTGGAATGCACAGCCCCAAAACAAAAGTCTATAGAACAGCTTTCCTTATTTCCATGGATGCCTCCTTCCACAAGGTTCTCTTTTCAAAAGCAGGGAAACTGTCCTAGTGATTCCTAGGAGTACACAAGGCTTCTGGGGGGAGGAGGGCTATAGAGCCACCTCTCCCAAAAAAACTACCCCTCCCAGGAAGCCTTTGCTGGAGAGGGTGCAGCACCATCAGTTAGACTCCCAAAAAAACTACCCCTCCCAGGAAGCTCTTCAACTTCAAACCCTGGTAGTGTCTACTATGCCTTTGCCATCAGTTAGAATCAGAGATGGGGGTATTCGTATACGAATACAAATATTATTTATGTATTTATTGCTATTGGACTTACATGCCACCCATCTAGACATGGTCTATTCTGGGCGGCTCACAAGAGAGAAAATAAAAACAGTTAATACATAATAATTTATCAACAATATACAATGATAACAACAACTCAAGATGGGACGAAAGAATAAGTAGCGCCTGGAGGGAAGACCTGTCTGAATAACCAGGTTTTAAGTTGGTTTTTAAAGATGCCCAGCAAGGGAGCCAAACGGATCTCAGAGGGGAGTTTGTTCCAAAGAGAAGGGGCCACTGCCAAGAAGGCCGGGTATCTTGTTTTTTCTTTCCAGACCTCCCTCAGCATTAGGCCCCTCAACCGCCCCTCCTGACTAGATCGAGTGGTGCAGGTAGATCTAGGTGGGAGAAGGTGCTCCGCCAAGTATCGAGGTCCTAAACCGTTCAGGGCTTTATATGTAATCATTAGAACTTCGACACGGAAGCAATGGACAACCAATGCAGGGCGGCCAGAGTGGGAGTGATATGTTGATGTTTCCTCACTCCACTGAGAAGTCTGACCGCCGCATTCTGCACCATTTGAAGCTTCCACATCAGTCTCAAAGGTAGCCCCACGTAGTGCGCACTGCAGTGGTCTAATCTTAAGATTACAAGCACGTGAACCAAAGTGGTGAGCGCCCCAACATCAAGATAGGGATGCAGCTGGGCAATCCGCCAAAGATGGAAATACGCAGAACGGACCACTGACACCACCTGAGTTTCCATGGTGAGCACCAGGTCCAGATGAACCCCCAAGCTGCGAACCTCACACTCTGCAGTGAGAGACACCCCCCCAAAAGAGAGGGAGTTTCCCAAACTGCTGGTGGAGGGTGCATCCACCTTCAGGACCTCCGTCTTGTTCGGGTTCAGCCTTAGCCCATTTTCCTGCATCCATTGCTGTACAGATTCCAAACAGCACTGGAGGGACAGAACAGCATCCCCTGTGATTGGAAAAAAGGAAATGTAGAGCTGGATGTCATCAGCATACTGATGGCATGATGCTCCACACCCCCTGGTGACCTCTCCCAGCGGCCTCATATAAACAGCATTGGGGAGAGGGTTGAACCCTGTGGAACTCCACAATTGAGGGTCCACGGGGCCAAGTCCCCTTCCCCAAGCTGAACTCTCTGAGGACGGTCCAAGAAGGAACGGAGCCAGGCAAATGCCAGGCCACCAATTCCCAACTCGGAGAGCCTCCTCAGGAGGATACCATGGTCAACGGTATCAAAGGCGGTTGAGATATCCAGGATGACCAGCAGAGACGTTTTTCCTCCGTCAGCCTCCCTCAATAGGTCATGTAACAGGGCAACCAGTGCCGTTTCTGTACCATGGCGCGGTACAGAATATCCCTGCACAGGTGGCGATAACGAGGGTCCAGCCCCATGGGGCCAGATGGTCCCCTCACCGATCCGCTGCTGCTGCAGACGCTGTGATTCTTCCAGTGGCTTAACAGATTGTGATCAGCTAGCCACTCCTGGCAGGAGGCAGGAGGACAAGCCTCGCTGCAAGGTTGAAGAGTGGCTCGCAGATAGTTATTGCCACCTGTGCAGGGATATTCAAATACCCCCATCTCTAGTTAGAATATATTCTGCATGCTTGAAAACATAGAATTGTAGAATAATTGAGTTGGAAGGAGCATATAAGGCAATTGAGCCCAACCCCCTGCTCAATGCAGGAGTCCAAATGAAAGCAGATCTGGCAGGTGGTTGTCCAAACATATTTTGAATTACTCCATTGTTGGAGTGCTCACTATCTCCCAAGGTAATTGGTCCCATTGTCATACTGCTCTAACAGTTAAGTTTTTTCCTGATATTCAACTTAAATCTGGCTTCTCATGATTTGAGCCCATTATTACATGTCCTGCACTCCAGGATGACCAAAAACGGATTCTGGCCCTCCTTCATATGACTACCTTTCAAGTATTTGAAAAAGTATATCTCCCCTCAGTCTTCTTTTCTCAAGGCTAAAGCCTAGTTCTTTCAATCTTTCCTAATAGGACTTGGTTTCCAGTCCCCCAATAATCCTTGTTGCCCTCATGTGAACTTGTTCTGCTTTATTGCTATCCTTCTTAAAGTGCAGTGTCTGGAACTGGTCACTGTACTCTAGATCAGTGGTCTCTCTCCAACCTTTTTTGACACCGTGGACC